AAACATTAATTCACGTCATCAGTATGGTCTTTTGAGGGCCGAATGGCAGACGTCTCCCGTGAAACGCCCCGAGCGGCGAGGAGGGAGAGGAGAGAGCTATGTTTGCAGGTTCGGCGAGGAGCTAGAAGAGAAGGCTGTATATATTCGCTGGCTAAAGTATGGGTCAAATTGGACAGTTAGGTTACTGCAACACAACAACTGTATACAGAAATACAGCGTCCTTAGCATTAAACGCATTTCCTTACTGCATTGTCGCTTTTATTCAACGTATTTCTCGGATGGAGTGACAGAAACAATATCATATTGAGATGGCAAATGAAAACCAAACTAAGACAACTTGTCACCTGATTCATCGTCACTTGCACGTCTTTTTTGCCGTGAGTTGTCACCACCACACCCATAACCTGAGAAATGAATGATGAATACATTTAAAAAATACATTAAAATAAACTTATGTGGAAAACAAGACGAAAGCAAGGTCTACCCTAGCATTCTTCAGTTTTCTTCAGTTAAAGCAACAATATAAGTGACTTGACGAACTGGGTTTGGGAGCTACGGCGAAAGACCTGTCCACGTGCACTCTGGCCATAACAGTGTAAAGCCCAGTAGAAACGGACGCAATATCATTGTTGGATGTTACATGTTGCTTCCGAATTTGCACACCCTGTTGCATGTTTGTTGTTGCGTGTTATTGGGAAATGTAATTGCGCAAAGTTTGAAACCGGTCAAACTTTTAGCCCCGTGCAAACGGACGCAACAACTCCCAATATTGTTGGGTGTTGTTGCGTCCGTTTGCACGTAACATAAGTAATAGGGGAATCTTTGCATAAACGACCAGTAAAGCTTTTTCTTCAAAATATTCTTTGAGAACGTTTCTTCAACGAACCACAGTTTTCAAGCGCAGTGGTTAAATTGCACTAAACGTCAAACCCAGATCCATGGATCCCAAGTTTCTATTTGGCAAATTGGAGAGATCTATCTTAGTCTCAGTCTTTTCTTCTGCTTTTTCTTCTCCTTGCGCAGTGTCAAAATTAATGCAATAATTGCACCATATCGGCCCAGCCAGCCCAAATTCCAGGTTTCTGTCGACATGGGTCGCAGTCTTCAGTTTCTTCGTATACTTCTCCTTTTGCGCAGTTTAATTACCAAAAACATACCATCGCAGTTTTTTTGAAGCATTTTTAATACAATGACACAGTCATTATAATAGCAGGGTATAAGTGTGAAGTGGATATTTCCTTTATACTTTTTTCTCACCTTCTCTTCCATCGCTCACAAAGTTTTCAGTCATCAAAACGACACCAGCGTTCTTTAAATTAAGAACAACAACAATTATGATTTTTGACTAATTTTTTGGAAATATGGAGACAATAAAAGAGGTTTCCTTGCAAGACATGCAGTTCAGAGGTGTGATTCGTTTCTGTAATGGACCCTTTGCACGAAACGGTCACATATGGAACAAAAAAACCTTACTGGATGGCAAACGATCAGACGCAGAGGGGCAGGAAAAACAGAGGCTACATCATTCATAAAGCTAAGAAAACATCCTTTTTCTTCAAGGTCCCACTACTTTGTTTGCCATCCAGCAAGGTGGTTTTTGTACCCGTGACCGTTTTGTGCAAAGGACCTAATAGTTTTCTTCGTCAATATCCATTAGAATTATCTTTGTAGCTCTGATACCAACCTTGAAGATATCCTTGCTGTTCTTTCCTCCACCAACACCGCACCCAAGGTCGAGAGCCTCGGTTGTTTTGAAAATCTGTACCAATGATTAACAATAACAAAGTTTATGATCCACGATAGGAGCTATGCGTAGATGTTTTATTCCCAGTTTTAGTTTTTTTTCTTTCTTTCTTTCTCAAGCGCTAAAAGCCAGAACCTCCTCTCACCAGGATATGTCATTTATTTCTCACATTTTGCACATTTTGGCAAACTTTGGAAGTAGGGGGTTGATATAATTATATGGTCTTGAGAAGACGTGATATAGAATGGTAAAAAAGACAACAAATGCTGAATAATTGCTTATTTAAAGCTTTTAAACTGTTAACAGAAATCTGAAAATTCAGTAAACTGATTCAAAGTGGCGGCATTGTGAATGACGTCACAGGTTCGCAGCGGTGCCATCACAACCTTTATATCACGTTGTAGAGTTCATCACAGGCTATCTATTAAACGATTAGTCTTTGCAACGTATTTTGACATAACAAACACCTAAGGGGTTAAACAGCTCCGCTGTCCCCTTGTACCGTCCATGGGCAATTTGCTTTTCAGTTGCTTGTTTGTTGTCCTAGGACTCAGTTAAGGCCGAATTAGAAGGTACGATTTAACTTACGACCATAGTGCGCAACTAGCAAACGTCATGACTTCACGTCAGATCGTGTCGTGTAAATTAGACCTACGACATCCGTACGACACGCGTGGATGTCGTAAGTGAAAACTGTGCGCGTCTGGATGGTCGAAAGTCATGACGTATGCTAATCGCGCACCATAGTCGTAAGCAAAAATCGTACCGTCTAAATCGGACATTGTACTATTACGTGCAGTCTTCTTGCAGAGGAGAGAGTATGGTAAACTGATTCGGCAGAACAACCATTTTAGCATTTTATTTATTTATTCATTAGAAATGGTTTGGCGATGTTGAGAAACTTCGAGATGGTAAACAGTTGGTTTTCAGTATCATATCTGGTCACCGGTTACCAGTTTTTCTTGTATAAGGCTTTTATAGGCATCGATTGAATCGATCATGCTGTATGGTTGTAAAGCCTGGACTCCCAACAAAGTGTTGACAAAACCCCTTCCTGGGTGTTATACTATAATGTTGGGGAAGGTGCAGAATGACGGCTGAAAAACGAGGAACATATGACTAACGAACTGAGAGTCCAGGGAAGCTTGCAAGCCTGCTGACTGATCAGGAATTCGAACTGCGGTGATCCAAACAGGCTGGGCCTGTCTCAGTTACTGAGTTTTATTCGAGCAGTGAATATGACGAGGATAATGTAAATGCTAAGATTGATTTCAAATTCTGCAATCTCAGTCAAAATTATTTCATTTGGAGGACGAGGAGATTGGCCAGAAGTTAAAAAAGCGTTTAATTCTGTGGAAGTACTCCAACAATTTTTTTCTGAGACTGTAGGTCTTTAAGACTGGTTTACACATCACTTGGTAACCTTAAAGTGCACTAATATGACACGAAAGTTGTTTTAAATGGTTTTGGTCTTTTGATAAGTTTAATCAGCAAGTAGGAACTTAAAAAATGTCTCCCGAAATATTTCTTGAATTTTGGCTGTCCAAAAACTGCTTTTTGCCCTTGAGAAATGTCCCAGAGACAGCTCGAATGAGTAAAGGATCAAAAAGAGACCGACAGGTGACGTCAGTTGATTGGCTAAGCCTTCGCTTTCGATTCAGGTCATTGCTTTGTGTTTTGGGGAATGAAGCGATGCATTTGACTGTAATAAAGGTTACCATATATCGAAGCAAATTAAGATTTTGAAAATGACCGACAATCCCTTGTATTTGCCTACATTCTTGCAAATCATTCAACGTCATATTTGTCAGTTTGGCCGCCCGATAGCGCAGAGATTAAGGGAGGGAAATTTGCGTGTTTAAATTAATTAATAAATAAAAATATACACAATATACACTTTAAGCTTTCAACCTGAGATCACGACAAATTGCAAGCAAACAACGTCCTATGCTCTTCCACTGAGCTACTTTTCTCAGCTCTAAGAGATGGGAGTCTTCTAACGGAAGCAATTGTATTGTAGTTATACTTACCCGCTCTTTTGTGAGCCTGTTTTCATTTCCCAACTAGTAAACGCTTTGGTCCACACTTAGAAGACCCAATGTCGTTCCTTGAGGGGCCTTAATGCCCAATCTGTATGGCAATCCTAGTCCTATTTGAACTTCGTTAACTTGAACAGATGAGCCATTCGAAAGAATTTTGTAAGCATCAGGGAAAGTAACCTATATAACAAGAGAAAGTAATAAAACGATTCATCCCATGTAAGGGAATCCGGATTCAGGAATCCGGAGAAATTTTACCCGTGGAATCCGGAATCCTGGGGCTTTGGAATTTGGAATTCAGCTCAAGGAAAGACTGGACTGAGTCAAGTACCCGGAATACGGATCCACGGCGTGAAATCCAGATTCCAAGACTATCATGGATTCCCTTACGTGGGCGAAACGAACTTCATGGAATACATACTAGTCAGGCAATGCTTTCGAGTGGTATACCGTGAAATATCCCACGAATGACTTTATTATTCTTAAGATACACGGGATCCTTTGATTCCCAGGTTTGGTTTTGTTACCCTAGGCTAATAAAATCCTTAACCCCTTTGTCCGATGTAGATTATTTGATTTTATTTCGTATTACTTTCAAAACTTAATCTGCAAGGTGTAAGCCCCCTTCCTGGAGGTTCTTGGACAAGTATTCCATTTAGTTGAGGTTTTTATGCACCGGGAAAAGTAACTTGCCAAAAAAGGTAATTCGGGACGAACTTGAATAGAAAAGAATTAGACCTCCGAGTGAGGCTTGCTCTGTGACTGTACAGCTTGAAACTTAGAAAAAAAAAATTGAAACTGCAGAGGAATCTCTCAAGTTCATTTGAAAAAAAAAATTAAAAAAATTAAAAGCGGGAAAACACTTTTCAAATTTTCATGTGTGAGCTTAGCTACTAGTATAAAATTAAGAGGTGAAAGTTTTGAATTTCTCCAGAAATTTGAACGCATAATATAAACTTTTGTGAACCACTATATCTGCCATCTTGGAATTCCTACCGTTTGGTACGAAGTTTATGCTGGACAGTAGAACCCGGTGTAAGGCTCAGCGAGCAAGAGTTTGAGGCACAACAACCCTAAAATTTGGCACGCGTGCCTGTCAATGTTTGGCCCGGCAACCCTTATTTTTTGCGGCGTGCAAATGTAAATTGGGATGGGCATGGGTGCACACAAATCTAGGGGTACCGGGGTCGTGTGAAAAGGTGGTCCTGTATCCGTTTTTAGTGGTGCCGTACCCAATGTTTTGTTTCTATTGCATATGCAAATGTTTTTATAACCTCAGTTGGAAGACTGTCTTCAATATCGAGCAAAATGCTGTCAGCTACGACTCTTCCCTTGTTGTCAATGTAATAACCAATCAGACGCGCTGATGGAGACATTTGTGGAGTTACACGAAAGGACCAGGTTCTTAACATCCCATCAAATGGATCAGTTGTGTTGTGTGAGAGAATCCTACCTCGAGATACCACCTGGAAAGAAAGAAACAACAACATTCGAAGAATGAGGTGAAGACTGGTAAGGAGTCGAATCATTGACAATGACGACACCAATTTGTTCACACGTTTGTGGAACGACGAATATAAAAACTTAACCAATCATAATGATTATTACGGATATTGAAAATATAGGGAGGGTCTCTTTTTGACCTTGAGAAAGGCTAGGATTTATAGTCAACTCTCTCTTAAGACGGACACCTCCAGAAGTGGCATCACGGGCGCGATCCATTGAACCAAAATTCCAACCGGTCCGACCGGGAAAATTGGTCCACCTCAAAAGGTGGACCCGTTTTTTCGAAACTTTTCCGGTTGGACCGAACCGATCCATTGAGTTTTGGACCGAAATTTCCGGAAATTTTGGTTGAATGGATCGCGCCCTAAGTGTCTGTCTTAAAAAGGGGTTCGTACAAGTAAAGGCATGAAGAAAAGCAGCGGACCAACATCAAGTGTCCGTTTGCGGAAGGACTGTCCACCTTATAGAGGTTTCCCTGAGAGTAAGTTACAAAAATGTTACAAAACACAAGTATTTAAAAACGTATTGGTCAATAATCGCTCCATGTAACGCAATCCAAGAGAACATTGGATTCTGGATTCCATACTATGGATTCCGGACTCCTTCAATCAATGGATTCCGGATTCCTTGTCAGTGGAACTTTGATTCCAGATTCCAATTCTTAGCGGGATTCCGGATGTCTGAGCTGAATTCCGGCTTACAAAAACCAGGATGCCAGCAAGTAAAAGTTTCCCTGATTCTGGAATCCGGATTACCATACATGAGGAGACAGCCAAGTATTTTGAAATAAAAGCTGATGATAAGTACATATCTGATGGTACAATTTTCTAAATAGCTTAGCAGTATCTGAGTAATAGCGATGACCGTAGCAGGTACTGTTCTTATCTCTGATGAGGTGATTGTTTGCTCACGTGACCTACAATTTATTAAAGGAGCTCTTCCAAAAAGCAATAGGTTCAACTAGCAAAGCAACAACTCTGTAAGTGCAGCACTGCCCGTTTGGTATTCATTTCTTTGCGTGAAGCTCTCTAATGCAACCTTTTGTGAACGACGTGTCAACACACGACGACGAATTCTCTTTCTCCTTCTAAACTTGGGTTTGATCCCCAAGAATTACTCTCCAAGGAAGTTCACCAACATTTGACATTCTAAGCAAGGGGAAATCGTCAAGACAAAGTTTGTATTTAATACAAAGTTTTATTTTGTCGACGTTGCTAAAAGCTCCCTCGTAACATGTCATTGTGTTTAAGGGAACACCTGCAATTCAGTCAACGCAATCACAATATGATTATCGTGATACATAACAATAATATTTGTACGTAGCAGTAATTTCCAATTCCTTTAAGCCAAGCGGAGCACGCGAACGACGCGTGAGAGCATTGGGCCAAAAGAAACACAAAAAAATACGAGAAGGGTAGGGGTGCCCTTCCCCTCCCCCCCACCCCACTTCTGTTTTCGCTCATTTCTTCACGCGTCCCGTGCACTTCTCCCACTTGGCGAAAAAGAAAAGGAAAAGACTGCTACACAGCCTCTTGTTTATGCTCCTACCGCAAAAGAGAGTCCGATTTTACCACCACCACGGTTGACGCTTCTATAACTTTCACAAAATACTTTGCGCCCAACCTGTGAATCAATCACACGTTTAAAAGTTTTCAAGCTACGGTTTAATTTATTTAATTTTGGTTTATTTATTAGTTTCATTGAGCTCCTGGCTAACATTAATCGGAGATACACTTACTCTGTATGGTAAAACACTATCCAGGAGCAAAGGACTACTGTAGCAATAGATCGGACTCGCTGGTTTGTCTGAAGGGAACTGCTAACAACCTTATGTCAAGACAGGCAGCAAAACGAAGATGGTCTTCTACATGATTTTACTCAGATTATTATTATGATTAGTAGTAGTAATATTATAGCCAGAAAAATACAGTTATAAAATATATAAAATACCGTGGGATTCCGATAATAGCGGCCACCGTTACTTTCGGATTCTGAGCAGGCCAAGGGGGCCGTTAATTTCGGGTAGCCGTTACTTTCGAATGGTTAGAAAACGTTTGTAATTAAGCAGGGGTTTTACACAAAGAGGACGCATAACAACCATAAAAAGGTCATTCAGGTTGCACGCTGGTTACGGTATTCATTATCCATGTAAACAAAATCAACTGTAACAAGAAAGGCTCAAATGTTCGTATACTATAAGTCGAAAATATTGTTCGTATTATATGACAACTGTGATGACACTTACAGCTTTAATCTGTTTTTACGCGTTTTACTTACTATGTTACCCGTATTCTATGTTTATGAAAATACGGTACACCACTAAAATAGGAAAATATTGTGTGACATTTGTTGTAAATTAAATAGGAACATATTATTCAACCCACTACCTACTTGTATTTGTAACCACATACCGACCCTCTTGAAATGTTACATTAACGGTACAAAAATTATATTTTTTTGAGTGGTCATTTTCAGGCGCTGCCATTATCGGGGGCGGGGGGGGGCGTTACTTTCGGGGTTTAATAGCAAGGTAAAAAATTAACGTTACTTTCGGGTAGCCGTTATCTTCGGGGCACCCTTTATTAACGTAATTCTACGGTATAAACTTTTGAAGTTACTAATTAACCCTCCATATTGAAAATGAAAGCAAATGAAATATTATTGTCAGGGCCTTGTATTTTCAACATATAAATGAGCAAAAAATTCTTCGTTTATAAATCGCGACAAGCTGATCATGAGTAGCTTGTTTGTTTTATGCGTGTATTGCGCGTTTCACTAAAATGTTTGAGTGAACACGAAACTCTGCACAAATCAATACATTTTGGACAAATTATGGTACAATGGTACACCATACCTTTCCTGGTGTAAGCTGGCGAACCATGATCAGAGGTCTTCCACCAGCATCAAACGGCCTCACCAGGTAATTGGCGAACGCGTTCTGAGAAACTCCCAGTTTGACATTATCGGTTTTCACCTATAAATAATATAATATGAAAAACGTAATTACTATTACAAGAAATATAATACTGTGTTCATACTATAACGGATAGTTCTTGCACCGACAAGAATACCGGAAAGCTGTCAAACGTCAACAAACACTGGTGCAAAACTCTGTTTTTATTTGTTGCTCACACCGGTTTGATTATCCCTCGGTCAAGAACCTGTACTTGTGCAATATCGATATCTTGGGTGTAATGGTTAAAATGCTGTTTCAAAAAAAAAAGAAGATAAGCTGCTGTTTGTGAGCTTTTTGAGCTGCAATTCAAGATGACAGCGAAAACGCAGACGAAGGACGAAAAACGTGCACACTTATAGCTACTTATTAAAGGTCACCACCTAGCACCGCGGGACACCCAAAAAACCACAGACTGCCCTAGATAAGGAGTTGTGTTCACCTAACGTTGAATGCAACTAATATTATATTTTAAACGTCGAAAATATCCAGGTGACAAGGATTATGACACAATATCAACAACTGCCTAATCCGGCTTCACGATGAACAGTATTTTTGTACCTGAATAGAAATAGAATCGCAGTGTGAACAGGCATCTATAATAAATTCGACTTCCCCATGTTCATCCGTAAACCCTCTTGCGTATCTGTTAATTATCCTGAGCTGTATCCTAACAAATCCTTTCCTTCCATGAGCCGATATCAATAAAGGTACATTCTTGGCTGGTTGTTTATCAGGGTAGGTTACGACAACCTTGAAAAAAAGTCACAAAATTGCTTACTGCTTAAGAAAAATTATTTAAAGCTACAGTGGAACCTCTCTTCAAGGGACACCCTTGGGACCAAGAAAAGTGCCCCCTAAACAGAGGTGTCCCCTGAATGGAGGTTGGTCTGGGGTTTGTTAACAATTAATCATTCAAATAAAATATTTGTTTTTTATTCTGCCCCTATCGGAATTTATTCAGTTTCTTGTTTGATTAACAAGAGTCTACACATTGCATCATGTTCAAAGTCAAGTTCAAGGTAAGAGGGATTGTGACATCAGAGTTGAGCTTTACAAAAACACGATGTGGATCTCTAAACGACCTAGACGTATCAATGGATGGACTGGAAAGTCGAAATTTGTGAAATGTGAAGATATTTTGGTCGATAATATCAGTTATTAGAACAAGATCCTCCTGTCTTTAAAACGCCCCCTTCTTGGTTCCCCTAGAATACGCCCTGGGCGTCCATTAGATCATTTACGATAGCTGCTAACGCCTACAGAGTTTGTCAGAAGTTAGCTGTTGGATATCTCCAAGACTTCTTGGGGCTGATTTCAGAAGTAAAATACTCAGTCAAAAGTTCAGTTACTGCAATGCAACTTTTTGGCCAAAGTTCTTTAGATTCCTTTGTCTAGGAAAATGTTCTGGATCAAAGGCTGCCTTTTCTATGCCACTTTTATAATTATGCATAGAACACTTCAAGCGTTTTAGCAGTGAACTTAAAAGATTTCTTTAAAATCAGTGCCAAATGCCTTTATCATTTTTTTGGTTTGTTTTGAATTTCAAATTCGTTACTAGTTTATTTTGGCAGCTCGATCATACCTTCGCTGCAAAACGAAGTCCTGGTTTAAAATATTTCCCCGTGTTCGTAAACTTAATAAGGTAAGGGCTTGATATAAACTGGCATGATTTATCCACTGCAGTTTCTTTATTGCCCGTCGCCCTCGCGATGACGTCAGCCTGAACTTGAAGTCGGCTGTTTTCTGGAAACCACAAATTCCCTGGAAGGTCCCGGATGCTCTGAAGTTGCTCTGTCAGGGTCGTTACACCACTCTTATCGAGCTATATTTAATAAGTTATGATAATAAAAAAGAATATCAGAATATTTTAACATATGACTGTTTCTCTTGCCTTATTAATCCTTTATTCTTTGGTGCAATGGGGAAAGGCGTAAGTTACTGAAAGTGCAAATATTTCACTGGAAGGAGAGCTCTGGAGCCCTCTTTATTATCCAAAGGGGGAAATGTACACATTCCGAGGCGCCATAAGCGAGAAGAGAACGATGCGGAACAGTCTTAACAAAGGTTAGCTAAAAGTTCAAAAATACTCTCTTCATTTTATTAATGAAGGGTGACGAAATAAAAATACAAGAAAATGAAGATGAACAGATGTAATTCATAAAAGGATCAAGACCTTCCGCTTCATATTCTGAGGGTAAACGCTGTCCTAGGCTAGGAAAGTAAGGGGAACATACAGAAAGGCTGGACACAGGGTGAATTAAATTCAGGCTTTTTAACAACTGATCACCGAAGGGAACAAGAAAACCTTTGACTTTGTTACACTCAAGTGACAATATTCACTGTATACTAATGAAATAAAAGAACACTGCAGTGAAGTCCCATTGAAATGATCATTAGTTTTTTTCTCATTTTTTGATTGGCCTTGAACCGGTGTGCTGCCTATTCTGGTACCGCAGTTTGTTCCCTATGTTGGTGGTCAACTGTAAACAAGTGTACAAAGTGTTAGAGATATTCCACTGCCACCACTCGGGAGACAAGAAAAAAGATAATAAAGTTCCATTATTAGTTCTTGGTAAAGGTCGACATAAAGACATTTCAGTTAAAATTTGCATGTGTTAAGTTAAGTATTTGTTTGCTTGCACCCACCCAACGTACTATGCATAATTTGCGCGCCAAGAATCAGTGACCCGGAACCAAGAAAAATATTTGGCGTCTGTGATGAAAGTTGTGGTGGTGCAAGAAAAAAAAAAGAAATGTGGTGGTGGTGGTGGTGGAATAACAGTAGAAATGTGAAGCTTGTAAAGGATGGCTGTGAACTTATCGACGTTAATATTGTTCCACCGCAAGTTAATAGGGTTGCACCACATAAAAAATCGCCTAAACGGTTCCTGCTATACTACTTGCATCTCTGAATGAGCGCGTGAAGTTCTTGTGTGCTTTGCAAGTACTTTCAGAATAAGTCAAGCACTGCTTAGTAACGAAAATGCATTGTAAATTGTGTAATTTTAACACTTTGAACAACCCGTGACAATTTCATTTACGACAAGAATAAATAAAATTCTACACAAAGCAACCAAACTTGTTGAATGATAAGACCACCATTGAGAAGCTGATTTTCATGATTTGTCGGTTTCTTGAAGGTAAACCTCGTCCTAAAAATATTGACTTACCAAGATTGCATGTTTAGCGAAAGGCACGTTCTTTCCATTGCGTGCGACCATGCTCAAGTACACAACTGCAGTGCCGATAACGGGCTTTCCATAAACGTGCCTTTAAAAAAACAAGCCGGTGTTAGAGAAATGATATGTAGTTCATGGATGATGATTGAAGCTTGAATGATTTAGAAAACATACGTATGGACACATCAAAACGACAAAGTAACAAAGAAAACAATAGTAGCTCACAGTGAAGAGGAGTGGACTTCACAATTTTGTGAAATTACAAGATTGCAGTTGGTTGAGATATTCAGAAAACAATAGATGAAAAAAGCCCATTTGCCATAAAGCAGGCTGTTAGTGCAAACTGGTGGGGAGATACAAGCACCGTTATGTTCTGATAAAAATCTTCTAATGAAAGTACGGCTACTCGATGACCTCGAACTTTCGACCGGACCCATCAGGATAGCTAACGGTTACGAAAAAGCCACGTACAAACTTCGAGACGACTCAAATTCTCCTAAGACATCCAAGCAGATAAACAGTTTTTAGAGCAGCCCCAAATCAACCAGACACTTCAGGCATATTTGGAAACATTTGGTCGTTGGGTGCCCCTAACAATCGAGTTCTGTTTCAATGAAAAACATCACAAATTACAATTTTGCTTGACTTAGATGAAAATTAAACGGAATTTTGCAAGATTAAGCAAGAGAACTAAAAACACAAAACTACCAGAATCATGTACTCAGACATTGGTATTTCATGACGCGCCAATTCTACCTTGCTGTTATGTTTATTCCTATCTGGGTATCCGTTTTGAGGATGTAAGGTGGCACATTCAATTTCACCGAGAACTTGGGAAGAACTGAAAGAAATGAAATTTGAACAGCTTAAATTTACAGATAACTGCAATAAAAATGAACAAAATTGGAAGAAAGTTATCTTACCGTACTCCTTCACTTCGAACTGCACAGAGGAATTGTGAATATCCTTCAATACAGAAATCATAATATTGTAAGAAATAGACGTAATAGAAACAGAAGTTCTCTTTACTGTCGTCATCACAGTTGGCCCTTTCGTGAACGGTCGCCGCCATTTTTAAGGCAATTGGAAAATTTTTGAACTGTTATTGAGAGTGTTCCTAGTAAAGAACGAAAATCGCAACCCAGTGTCAAATCCTCACCTCGAACCGGGACCTTTCGTACCCTAATCTCTCTACAACACCGACAATCCAAAATTCTTAAATTTTAAGTAAGTACACTTGCAAACTGTCTTTCTTAACTGTTACGTCTATAACAAGTGACCCTAGCGCTTTCTTGGGCTTCAAAGTCGTTCTTTCTAACCGTATCCAAAAGCGTACTATTGTTGGTTTTCACATGACGTGACAAAAATTCAAACTAAAAAACTATTGATCCTACCTAGATTTTACATTCACGATGCATTAGAGCAGCTGAAAACTAATTTTCGTACAAATTTTGGCTTCAAAAGAGTTTTTGGTTTTGTGATAGAATACGCTTGAATTTCTAATCTTTTGCGTGACGCGGCCTTTACATGACAGCCAAGAGAGCTGTCATGTAGGTTAAAAAAATGACTTATTTCAGGGACTTTTTGCTAACTAAATAGTTCATGTATTAGAAAAAGTATTACTTTAATGTTTATGAGTTTCTCGAACAAAAAATGCACGCTTTTGTAGCAAAACTCGGTAACAGGTGTTTCTGTTGGTTTCCGTCCGCCATGTTGGAGCTCATCCAGGTGAGCACCAGCATGGCGTCTCCATACAAATCTCTATAAGTTTGGGTAAAACATTTCTTCGGATATCTGGTATACGAAACATTTCTCTGACCTGAATCTCGGCGAGGGTCTTTGTATATGTACCTTCTTTTATTTCTTAGATTCTGGACTTTATCTATCGAACGGTTTTGATTTTATTTTGATCTATTTCGAATGCCGAGTGACACTGGAAACCAGCAATTTGCCTTATTGTAACTTAATCCATCTATCATGATTTAAGGCCTGGTTACTAATGGAGGCATCGACCGTTAAAAATGGCAAATACCATTTACGAAAGGGAAATAGGCGTCGTCGTCATGGCTGCTTAGGCTCCCTCTAAATATGGTGGCCATCATGACATCATGTGAAAACGCTCTATTGGCAGATTTCTCCCGTAAAGACAATCACGCTGTGCCGGTCCCAACAGAGTCCGTCTTAGAAAGAGCTGTCTGTTACCTGTGTAATTAAGGTGATTCCCTGGTTTTGCACTGCGCATCTCTTACTGCGCATAACAAGATGGCCGCCGTAAAACAGAGCATGTGAAGTAACATTATTAAAATGAAGTTGAATGAAGAGAAACGCTATTGGAATTTTTGCTTGCGGTTGTTTCTAGCCGAGGTGAGACTTAATGTGTTGGGAATGTGCATAACGTAGGCAGTACGCGTGTTGCTGAGTTCGACTTCCTCACGGAGAACCTCGATAGTGGATGTTTGACTTGTGCTTACTCACTTTGATTTTTATTTAAACGCTTTCTTTATCACATTGTATCCTAAATGTGATATCTCGATGTAAATTCTGTATACTTTCTTCCCTCTTTCACATACATTCTATTTTGAAACTCGCCCCAGTCCTCTGTCAAAACTCGGAGAAAATGCATTTGGTGCGCACTTTCTGCAGCTCTACCGCAAAAACGAGTACGGTGACCCGGTCCCCCATCTTTTATTTCATGATTTTAATAAGTACAGTGCTTTCTTTCGATGAGAAAAAAATTGGCGCAAATCTATGTTCAGTTTTTTGGCAATTTTACTAAATTGTACGGATTGAGCAATCACGGGTTAGCCTGCGTAGCAAGCGTTTCCAACCGAGTTATTGCGCGAAAGTTAGAGCGGAGGCAAAAAAAAAGGTTGAAGGGGGAGGGGGAGGGGAGAAGAGGAAACGCTTGCCCGCAAACCCCACGATTCTGGAAAACGCCCCTTGATATTTCACGGTTCGGTTCATTTGTAAATTGACAGCTCGTCAAAATAGAAACATAACGAACAGATTACCCCTGGATTAACAGATTTGTAAAATTACTTTGTTCTCTAATAGAAGACGTTGCTGGCGATTGCAAGAACTGTAATAAAAAAGATTTACGATAAAAGAAAGTTAAAACTGTGAGCGATTGCTGCAGAATTTCTTGTTTTTTATTGTGTGGCTTTATCTCGTCTGAAACCTTGTCGACACGTCAAAAATGATTTGTCCGGAACAATTCATTCCGCCGGGTATAAGTTTTGCAGAGCGGCTGCTCTTCAGCCTTTGTCGAAACGTTCTCTACAATAGATGCCAATAAATTTCCAATAAACAAAAAGAATCTTTTCATTTCAAAAAGCTGACAAATCGCTTGTCCATGGCGGCTTTAGCTAGTGTCGAGTACCCATGTTCTGATTTATGTTGATGTTATCTCCAACAAACAGTCCATTTTTTCCAGTCAGATCTGCACGACGTCATTCTCAATAAATTGGCTTTCCCTAGTCTCCACTGCTCGATCTCCAATTATACTTTGAAGACTCTGATCTCATAAACCTTCGCACAAACACGATTCAAATAAATATCAGTCCAAAGCATTTGTAATCTGCGACCACAAATCAGATGAGACCAGTTATGTGACGCACGAAAACAAAGCATACCTGGTTTGATTGATGTTTCCAATGATAAGTAATCAACACTACCCGCACCGCGCCAATGAGAAGCTGCGTTCGTGGGCGAACGCAGTTTTTCAAAATCGTGGGGTTTGCGGGCAAGCGGTTCCTTCATTCCCCTCCCCCTCCCCCGTCATTCATTTTTTTTTGCTCTTGTCCCAGTTTTCTAGACGAACCTCGCCAGGAAACGCTTGCTACGCAGGCTAATCACGGGTCGAATAGCGCGTGTCCAATTCAATTCTACTTTGGAGCGTAAAATAAAAACAGGAGCATTAAAAGGTATTTTTCTGGTATGCAAGTGGATAAACAATACAATAAAGTCAAATTCTGTGCCATACCACATGCATCATCGAAAAAATCTCTCGTTTTTGTCTAGTTTTGGGTTGCGCGCGGTTTTTGACAAAGGATCCAAAATAGCCGTATTTCTCAGCATTGTGACGTCAAAACGAGCACGGTGACCCCCTCTTTTTATTACTTTTTTATCATCTTCTTGACTTGTTACATCAGTGTACCAAGTTTCATCTACAATCTATGTTAGGTTCTTTTACTAGGGAATCACCTTAAGTGCTCAAAGGTAGAAATACATTGCAAATACCTGATGGCCATATACGGCTGTTATAGTCCAGGTACCCATGAGACCCAAATCATCCAGATCCAGCCTCCTCGTTATGATTCCTTATGGAAAAATGGAACAGATATATAATGAAATCAAATTAATGCTTAAGTCAACTTAAAAAGAACTGAAACATACCTGTACTAGTGTCCAGGTCCTTCCACTGCTGTACTCTAATTCCCTGTGGATTCTGAAAGGAAAGAAAAACAAACGTAACGAAAACGAATACTGAAACGTTTAACAATTATTGGATGAGGCTAAGTATCATCTGAAGAATTATGGAAATCTTGGAGGGTTTTATCAGGTCGAGGCGGATAACACCCTTCAAAATAATTCCTAGTTTATAAACAAGATATGCTTACCTCCATCAATGTTAAGTTCATGTTAAAGCCTGTTTATCGACAAGTTTAGGAGATAAAGGGATGTTTAGTTCTGCAAATATTCTCCAAATAATAGATGACGTCCATCGAGTTGTATTCTTGCTGTTCTGGCTATGTTTTTAGCCAGTAGTTTCCCTATTTCTTCCTCGCGAAACGAGTGCAATGTTCCGCCATTCTGTACTCCCTACCATAACAACTCAACCTCGTCACCAGGTCTTCTGGGTTAACCGTCCAGTTTTCTGGTAATTATGCTGTATAGCATTGACGTCATTTTGCAAATATAGCAAATTTCCTCCGAAGCCGGTTATGATGAATTATCCGTATGATTTGAGTAAATCAGAAACGGAAAAATATTTTGAATGAACACTAACATTTCAGTAAGTAGCAGTTACTGCAGTTAGAGTGGCATGGCGGTACAAAGAAGAAAATTTTGGCCAAAATTTTGGTCATGTCAGAATTTTAATAGTGTAAAGACGTCTTAACCACATGCCGTAAACTACTGATTATAAGCCCTGGGCTTATACATCTTCGTAAGGGGTTTTAGGATGGTCTATAAACGGTGGGGCTAACATCCGAGGGCGTTTATAACCGGAAAAGGCAGGGCGCTTCGAAACAAGATCTAGTAATGCTGATCAAAATACTTTCGTATTTACTGGTTTTCTATAAAGCGTTTTAACGTTTTAAAAAACGTCATAATAAATCGAAGGACTAATCGAATTTATTTTGATACATTTGGAGGGGTGGGAGAGGGGGGGGTGGGGGACGTTTGTATCCGGCAGGCTTATAATAGTATGTGTGCCTTTTTTGGTTACAAGTAGATGCGCCTATAACTGGGAAAGGGGTGGGGGGACTTAAAGCAGCAGTTTACGGTATTATGTCAAAAGGGAAACATTAGAAACTTCCAAAAATCTTATCGTTTTGATGATTACATGAATATCTGGTGAGCTACCGAAATCTCGGAAAGTAGGCCAGGCCACCTTCTCTTATAAACACATTGAAAATTATATTAGGCAAAAAAGAGACCAGCCAACATGGTAAGGCGTCTATTCCTGCTGACTGGGATCAGTCTCACCTCCTATAAGCAAGATCAAAAAGAGACTTACCAGAACCATAACGGTTATCTGTTTTGAAAAAAACAAACAAACAAACAAAAAAATAGTTAGAACTCGAGTTTGTCAGAGTAAAAATAAAGGGTCGTGAAGTAACAGCAAATTCGACTCACTTTTTTGGTAGAAGGTCTCATATCAAAATCCAGCGGAAATACTCGGATATTCACTGCAAAGAAAAGAAGAAAAGACCAATCCAGGTATAGTCAGCAGAAGAGGCTAGTTTATGAAAGCCGGCAAACATCAAGGTTTATACAAAGGTGCTATTAAGTTTATGTTGGAAGCTCCCTGACCGTGCACATTCCTGACCTTTGTTTTTCGTTAACAAATTGTGACTGAATAAATCAATGCGATGTTTCTATTTGTCAGTAACTTCAAAATGATAGGAATGCTTTTGAACGTTGTGCACGGTCAGGTCCAAGAGCTAACAAAAACTTACAACAAGGAAGTCTAGCGGGTTTCATAACCATTCCTCCACTTTCATAACCATTCCTTTCCACTTTTCCTCTTTTCCACTTCTCCACGTTTCACACTTTCGTAACCACTAATCGGACTTTGTCTTAACTGCTATCAAAAGTATTCCGGATCTTATACTTTTTTTAGTTCTTGTCTATTTTTCCAGTTTTGTCCTTCTTGTTCTTTCATTTTTGTCGTTTTTCATTTTTTTCTACTTTCCCTCTTCTTTTTAAGTCTTTGCTGATTATATATATTCTTGTTTGAATCGTCGGTTTCATCAACTTGCGTGATAGCTATATATGATTATGCTTGTTTCTATGCTGGTGAATTCTGGTAACTTTTACCGAACGTAAGTCTGAATTTCTTACCTGTTTGTCGGGGAGTGTAGATTGGCTTGTCCGTTTCCATAAACACCATCCTGTCTCTGTAGCTAAGAAGGATCCTGGCTTCCTTGTGAAACTGGAAATGGCCATCATCTGACTTGGCCACTAGATAAACGTATTGTTTGTTCACTGTGTTGATGTCTGGCAGATCCTGTGGTTCAACCTGGAAAAATATGACATATAATATCAATAGTCTGTCTGATATTAAACAATTACTTTTGGATGAGGTTTTTGTGATATCCGGAATAATCAAGGTCTCGGTAAGTGTTATCAGCCGAGCCGGGGACCTTGATTATTCAGGATATCACAAAAAACGAATCTAATAATAGTTTTATTATACATCGTTTTGAAGAAAATAACGACAAACACACAGTCGCAGAGAACCTGAACTGATTGCTATTGGAAATCATGCATTGCGCACGCAATCTACAGATTAGTCAGTATGTGCTAGCAGATAACTAACTAATCCGTAGGTTGCGCTGATTTCAATTTTTTTTTTTGCATAGCTGTAGGCTCTTAGCCAATGAGAAGACCACTAATGAGTATGAGTGTATAATAAATATGCGTTATTGATCAAGCGTGAGGTCAAGATGGCTGGATATTGGACATGTTCTTTTTTTGCGGCGTTTTTATGGGCAGAGACAAAGTCGAGGTCTATAAAAACGCAAAAAAGAATGAGGTTAATATCCAGCCATCTTGGCCTAACAAGCTTGCGAATGGTTGATAAAAGATTTATTATATAGCCAAAAAAGAGAACTTTTTATTGCAAGACCAATGCGGGAATTTCTGAGAGGGCAAGATGGGCCCATCTTGCTCAGGTAGCCAATCAGAAAGCAGGATTCGCTTCATCTTGCCCGTTCGCGGATTCAGCCATACAGTAAATTTGAACATTTATTCTGGTTACACTAATATGTTCGGATGACACTAAAAATTCAGAAATTACAAAATGTACAGAAAATATCCGTTTTGTCTTTCACGGCTCTTGGAAAGATGAAATGGGGATAGTGTCTTTGCGTATTAGCTTACAAGCCAAAGGCTCCGAGGCCGAGGCCACTGAAATAAAAGATTTTGTATGTAAACTTATTTAAATTATTTAATTCATTTTTACTTGTACAGTGATATCTCGAGAGTGCTCAAAAAGCAGGATCAATTCTTAATGATCCGTTGTTTTCTGGTTACTTTAAGTTTCAGCGTGCTTTTGTAAGTAGTCACTAGGACAGGGGGAAAGTAAATCACATTATTATTCATTCAAAACATTTCCCCAATTCGGATTGGCTAAAAGCACACGCATAATTCACCATCACCAGTTAAGATGACCAAATTTGGAAGAATTTTGTGTCTAATGAGGAAATGACGTCAAAAATGCAGCCTTCTACAGGTTAATGCACCGTTAACAAGAAGACTTGGGGACGAGATTGACTTGTTTTCGTTGTAAAAACTAAAATTGCGGACACTTCACTCGTTTCAAGAGTGAGAACTACAGCTGGAACTCGGCGGAATAATGGCTAAAAACATAGCAAAAACAGCAAGAAGACAACTCGGAGGGCGACATCTGCTATTTGGAGAATATTTGCGGAGCTGGACAAACCTAAACGTAAACTATCGAAGATAAACTTAACATCGATGCAGGTAAGCTTGTTTCAGCTATGTTTTTAAACTAGGAATTATTTTGAATGAATAATAAAACAATTATTGAATTCGGGTTTCGTACCATATGAAGAGTTATGGAGATCTCGGAGGGTCTCGGCCTCGATCTCCATAATTCTTCATAAGATGCTCAGCCTCGTTCATTAACCGTTAATTGATTCTGCCTCAACCATCATCTTGGTAAAGTTCAAATAATAGCTAATGATCATGACGGTGCCTCAGTATTTACCTTCACTGGAAGAAAGAGGTTGCTCCCTAAGAAACAAAAACAAACCCCAAAACAAAAACAAAGAACAAAATAAGTCCTTTAAGCACTAGATTTAATAAGGAAAAATAAGATACAATTATGGTATCGTGACCTAAATTTTAGATTGCCCCAGTACATTGCAGCCCAGTTTTGGACCTCTGAAGCTCAGATATACAAAAATAATCACACAATAGTTTAGGTATGTCTTTATCTTTATCATCTTAGGGAAGCGTTAGAAATCTGGCCTCACTTCTAGCTAGATTTGGTTCAATTCTTGTTTCATTCTTTCATACTTGACTGAGTTGAATTTGTTGTCGCCTGTTCTCGGACCTTCTCCTAAATACTATTTTCCTGGGTAACCACTTTTTTTCCTCCCTACCAAAAAACCTAATTTTTTAAAACATTTTGATTCGATCAAGAATATAGTAGACTTGGAAAAAAAATTTGCATTTTCCTGTGTCACCAATACATAACCTACTGATGTAAATTTGATAAACCTTCGTAACTCAGCCCCCTTTAAGGTAACGATACTTCGCTGGCCGCGACTGTTTTCCAATTAATTAATAGGGAATTTACGATACAACGACGGCGACGGCGACGGCGACGGCGACGGCGACGGCCACGAAAAAGTCGCTTAAAAAGTGAATTTGCGTTCTTTAAATCTCTATCGTGATTTCTCGAACTCGTTTACTTTGTCAAATGCATGCGAACTCTTTTTTAGCCGAATTCCTAAGAGCCACATTCAAGTTCAGAAAGAGAAAGAACATTTAGCCGTGGCTTGTTTACGTCGTCCATAAAACGTGATCAAAATTAGGCATTTTCCCATCGTAGTCGCGCAGTGACGGTTAAGAAATGTACAAAGAAGCGTGATGCACGTTCAGGGTCCGTTCAGGGTTGATGTTTTGCTTATTCACCCAGGCCAATTGCTTTTTTGACGTTCTAGTAGTCGTCGCCGTCGTGGCATCTTAAAGTCCCTAAATCACTCCTCTTGCTTATTAGATTACAGCTCAAACATGATATACAACTTATTAGTATTTATTACCTTGACCTACACGTCCCTGTACTTGGGAAAATGTCTTTCGCCTGTGTGGGTAGTCCTGTAGATACAGCTTTACATTCACAGGGTTCCCAGCATCAAATACCGCAATGGAGACTTGTTCTGTGACCCCAATGTGAAACACATTCGGAGCCATGATTGCATACCTACAAAGAAGAAACGCTTTTCAAAGATTGTTCACGGCAAGATGATTACACTTCAGTCTACTAGTTTGTCGACGTAACTTGATCTTTTTGTAGCCTATGACCCAGGCGTCTTGGATGCAAGAGCGCCCAGCGTTAGGGAGACCGAACCCAACTTTAGAAGGTGAAAAGAAAATTCATTGACGTCTTGTCGTTCACCATAAAACGTCGCATGACAATAATTATCGTTATCGTCGTGCAGTGACGGCAAAAAAATGTACAATGCTTTACTTATTCCTATTGCTGTTTGACGTTCTCGCTCGGTCGCCGTCGTCGTTGCTGCGTGTAATAATCGTGCAATTGAAAGAAGGGTGAGAACTGAGTAAAGTAGAACGGTAGGCCTTTTTATGGCAAAATGGAAGAGAGGTAGTGTAAGTTGGCGCCGGCACGTCCGTTAATTTAGTAACCTTGAATACACCAATACTGTACGCAGAGTTATCGGTTTTAATAAATGATATAAATTCATACTAGATGGATGATGAAACCTTCTTATCATATTTTAAGTTACAAAACCGGAGCTTCCACCAAAATGATAGTTACTAGGATCATGATCGAGCGCATGTTCTCATGATATTATTATTAACGTTGTTGTTGTTGTTGTTGTTGTTTTTTTTTTTTGGAGTCGCGCGTAGATTCAGAGAAGCCAGGATTTATTTAGAGACCTCTAAATTTCATGCATTACATCTGATTTAGGAAAATAACCGGAATCTCCGTCACTCGCCGAAATCAATCGCGGATCTTTAATTTGCTCGGCACTTTTTTGACGCACTGAGCGGGAAAATTATTCTTCTGGACTCCCATAAAGCCATAAACGGAAACAAACGTGCTCCAGTTAAAAATCGGAGAATCATACAATCGGAGGCTTGTTGCCATAAGGGATATTTACTAACATTGGACAATAGCACACTAAAGTGGTAGAGTCCATAGCAGAATCGGACAATAAAGGAAGAATTGTACAGTCGGTGACTAGTTACTGTAGCGTTTGGATAGAATCGGACAATAGCACACTACAGTGACTGTCGTAGAGTAGTAGAATCGGAAAAATCGTAAAATTGGAGACTTGTCTTTAATATACGATTACTTCCGCAGAATAGTAAAATTGGAGGAAATCTGCGTAGGGCTAAATCGGAGAATAGCATTTCTTAATCAGTTAGCTATTTTCCAGTTCAGCACTATATCGCGTTGCTCGACTGTCTTCACGGTATTAAAGTTGAAGTTGAAGTTTCAGCTGCCTTTCCTTCTTTATGTTTGCGCCTAAATAACGCGCTCGACCGCGCTAACCTCGCCGTCTAATATAACTGAACTGCAAATTTCACAACGCGTCTTCTAGATTTTGTTATAGTTGTTACTTACTTTTTCGCTGATATGCATCCTATAGCAAGTAAGAACAGAATAGATCGTAACATTGTACCAAGACGCTTTGCCATGCTCACAGCAAGGCTTTGGGGATCAAATGATTATTACTTTCCTTCAACGTGTTCGAACATTCAGCCTTAAGTGGCGTCACAGATATAAGAAAGGCGTTATCGCTGAAGCGAGTCACAAGATATAAGGAACAAAAAAACTGGTAGAGTTTTAAAAACTTCCTGTTTACTTGCCAAGAAATTGTCGCCAATTACTAGCGGATCCTTGACTCAGAGGTCAAGGGCGAAACGTTATATAGCTTAACGTCATATTAAACCGTGTTGAGGAAACCCTGAATTAAATAAAAGATTTTTCTATGCTCAAGACTGGTTTTTCAATAAAATCTCAGCAGAGACTGCTTAATTTCTACCTGAGCATGGACGTAGACATCGCGCAAAATGAGTGGACACCATAATAGTTATCATGAGCAACGCCGAAGCGGCAAAGTCAAATGCACAAGCATTTTATTAAATCGGCCCCGAATAAGAGAAGAAAGGGCCTCATTTGGGCTACAAGCGCTGATAAAACTCATTCGCGCGACTTTAATTTGTTAGCTACGAAATCACAAATCCACGAACGGAAAATCAAAAATGTGCGATATATTAACAATTTAGGCACAAAAGATAAGCGTTTTACGTAGCAGAAGGACTTAAGGCGTCTGAATAAAAAAAAAGTGACCAAAAAAACAGATATTTCTTGTATAGAAGCTGACTGAGCACGCTGAAAGTATGTTGTGCTATTTCGCACGCAAGTGTTGTTTAAAAACTTTAACACGTTTGAAACAAAACTATTGGCCGTATTCACACTAGAGACGTATTATCCGTCTGAGACGGGTTATCCGTTGGATAATTCGCGTCAGATAGATAATACGTCTTAATTTGACAAAACAAGGAAAAGAAGGAAGAGAAAAGGCTGTAGAAATGCAGCATTGCGGTACTCTTTAACTTAGGCCCTCAGAGAACTTATTCCACATTCTTAGCCAGTTCTTGCTTATCATATTAGGAAGACGTAGGCAACAGAACGTTTTCACTTAACCCTTTAAACCCTAAGATCAAAATTTGAATTCTCATTTGTTGCCCTATTCATTTCCTACAGAAGTAGTGGGGGGAAGTTGATAAAATATCAAGTTAATTCATCTCTTGTGATCATGTCCGTAATCCTCATGACCACTCTGTTTTACAAAGCATTGATATTACAAGGAGAAATTTTATGCCGATCACTCTTATGGCTTAAAGGGTTAACGTCACATCTGCTTTATTGTTGTACCAAACCAATCCTCTAAGATTTGAACCTTTTACGAATACAAAAATTTTCTTTTGTTCCAATAAATTTGCATAGCTAGCGTTGGTGACCTGGTGTTACGCCCTGTTGGGTAACCGACTTGTACGCATGCGATGAGCCCTGTGGAAAGGCAAAATTAGTGCGACACTGACCTAAAGAGCATCTCTGCGTTTTGCCAACTTAAAATGGAGAAAATAAAGCTCTCCCTCCTCCACCCCCTTCATGCAATGTTGTGCCGCTGTTGGAGCTACCTATAGAAAACAATAGACACCCCAACTTTGAATGGAGGGGAAAGGGGAGAGGTGGGGATCATTGTTTTGTTCTGCGAAGTTATAACTTATTTGAGAACATTGTCTCAACAATTTTGTCACTGAATGCAGGTTTCATTAACGTGAAAATAAGCAGGTAAAAAATTGATTTTGTTACTTAATTTACAAAAAACAATTGGTTGCATGATCAATAAATGACAATTTTGTATACCGTAAATCCTCTATTAAGCCCCCCGGGGGGCTTATTTATTTCGAGCCCATTTGAGGCGGGGTTAATAGAGAGAGGGGGCTTATTTAATTTAGAAACGATGATGGACAGGTATCAGTACTTCATAAAGAACTAGAATACAAAGGGGAAAAGCTCAAGTACTAGAAGTTTTAGGTCATGCAGCCGAAGATCAGAATCAAACCCGAATTTCCAGTTGGTAAATAGACCATCCCGGATCAGTCCACACCAAGTTTTGACGGTCGTGATTGACTATTATTTATTAGTGAAGAATAACCAGGGGTAGGGAGGGGGGGGGGCCTTAATATAGAGGGAGGTTATTAACTTTCTTCCCTTGAAAAGGGGGGCTTTTTAGAGGGAAGAGGCTTATTTGAGTGGGGGGCTTAATAGAGGAGTCAAGGTATGCAAAACTAGCTAGAAATGCAAATTTTGCTAGCAAAGCTTTTATCGGAAAATAGTGGAAATTATACTCGTAATGACGAATCATGCCAAATTATGCTAGACAATCTATCAAAGCCTACTGAGGAGTAGTCTGCTACACAGCCGTTTTTAGTGCCGTCACGCAACGCTGAGGAGGAGCGATACTAAAAACAGCTGTGTAGCAGCCTAATTGAGGTGTGTCTGCAAAAAAAAAATATCTGTTCATATCCTGAAACCGTACCGAGAAACAGGCAAATGTTTTAAATGAGAAAAAAAAAGGTTGTTAGACTTGTTAAAAACTTGAAACAAAAATTTTGAATCAATAGTAAAACATTGAGTTCAGCTTTCGTATGATGTGAAGTAGGCAGAGCACGGAGCCTGTTATCCACCTCGGCCGAAAATACTCTCCTCAATCTACATGATTCTTCGCATCATACTCAGCTTCATTCAATAATTAAAGGGCTGAAAGCGAATATCAATCGTATGTGATGATGTGGTCATGAAAATGTTTTTTTATCCAAATTGCTCAGAATACTGAGCTGTATTTTTGCACGAAGCCTCCAATTTTATGGATAAACAAGAATTTGTACATGTATTTTATTTCGCCTGATTCTTCTTCGTTCTCAAGGAAAAGTTTGAGTAAAAAACTCAGGCTTCTGGAGATCTTTTGTTAAACGAGAAAAAAAACTTTTGTTTGTCAGAACAAAGACCTCAGTGAAGCGGGAAATTCAAGTCGCTTGAACAGTAGTTAGTCGTTGCGATAATCAAATCACGCGGCTTTAAATCTGTAAAATATTTTGCCGCGAACCGAGCGGTATTGCTGTCGATATCCAAATCATTACAATGGATCGACGAGAAAATTTGCTGTATGATTTTCGGAGTCTACCTGATAGTGATAAAGATACAAGCTTACAAACCTGCAAAATGGTGGCCGCCAGCTTCGTAAACAAACGTGTCAGTAAAAAGACGCTGCCATTAAGTAGAACAGAACATCTTCTGTAAAAACAACATCCGACAATATCATCCAATGTTTCAATTTCCATAGAAAGTGAAGAATCTTTAGTCCTCTTCTTTCCATCACCGAGTTACGCATTTTAAAGTTCATAAGCAGTTTCGTTCGGTTCTAGCTGTAGTCATTTTAATATTGTGGCGCGCGAAACCTGGCGAGAGTTGGCTTGGAGACTCCTCGCACCGGTCCACCTCCGATCTCGAAGTGGATCGTCACATGTCGGCCGCGCCAAGTTTCTGCCACTCTTCACCGCGCTGTCAAAGTGTGGCGGAAGCAAAAAATTGTTCATAAGCGTTCATAAGCGTTCATAAGTGAATGTAGCGGGTAGCTTTTCATGTCGGCTCGAAAAGCTATCAGGTATTGCGTAGACATAGGCCGGGTCGTGATGACGACAACCTTATTTACGTCTCACACTTCTGGTTGAACACAAGTTAAGTGCTGAAATTAAACTAATCTGGAAGACATGCGTTCCGAACAGGTGCAAATCATGTAAACCTGAGAGTAGAAACAAGTCAATATTTGCAGGAATTTTGCAAGGGTGTAAGTGCGACGCAAACACGAGAACGAGCGGGAAGCGCGAAAAAAGGAAAAGGCACCTGAAAAATTCTCCGCTTCTGTCCTCCTGCGCTAGCGGTGAGTAAATCAACCTTACCACCCGGGAATTTATTTTCATACCCACGCTTTAAAGACGGCAGAAAAGGTGTCTATTTTTCTTATTATTAATTTCATACTCGCGCTTTAAAGAGAGCAAAAAAGGTGTCTGAACAGGCTAAATTTTCCTTTACTTTAGAAATCAAATACGGATATTGAACACCCACAGGAAGTTATCCCCGCTGGTCACCCAAAACTGCATTGCACATGACTACTTTAACAATACAGTGGAAGCTCTCGTAAGCGGAATAACCCTGGGGTGGCGAAAAAGGTGTTCGTAACTGCAAGTGCCCGCTAACAAGAATGGCCGGGTTCTCGTATGTGGCCACTAGAGGTGTATGCTTACCCACCTACAACTAAATATTCGAAATAGGAAAAAAAAATGTTTGCTAGTTATGACCGTGCTGTCGTTCAGACAATGAAAAAAAGAACCTCAAAAAGTTGTTCATAAATTTTTTTCCGTAGTTCAAAATATGATTCATTTCATGTCATTTCCAGCATCGGGTATATTACGAACTCAAAATGGCCTGGTCTCCAGATGTAGCTCTGTAGATAGAGCATTGCGTCCGGTCATCGCAAAATTCAGGGTTCGATTCCCGGTCAAGCCTGAATAAAGTTCAGGTTCTTTTTCAACCGCTTAAGTTGCTCATTCAACTTCAAAGATCATATTCACTTTCATATCTTTATCCGCAGTTAAAAATTATTCATTTCAAATATTTCAAGTCATTATAATTCAGGACATATATAGAGGATATTACACGGTGGCGAGAAGATATGAATTTTATTTTCGAGTGGCAAAACAATATTTTACGAACGAGCCACGAGAAAATAAAATTCATATCTTCAAGCCGCCGTGTAATGTTCTTTTTATTTTATAGACAAAATGACATCGATAAAATAATAAAGGGAAATTACCAAAATTACGTCATCGATAAACTCACGTGTGAGATTATGGAAAATAAACCACTCGGGTCCCGGATGCAGTTTTTATGAATTTTACGAGTGGTATATTTTCCAGTAAAACACTCGTGTCTATATAATAAAAGTGAATAATGTGATCATGAGATATGAGGGAGAAATAACTTATGTATAATCAAGTCCTACATTCAGGTGTGTGTGATTTTTATTTGAGTTAACCAGGATAACGCTTCACCCAGATACAGAAAGCTGAGGATCGGAGAAAACACTACCACGTTAGTGTCCCTTAGCAGTACCGCGAAGTAACAGAAACACGTGTCGTTGCACAAGCTGAATATATTATAATTAATCATTCTTTCTCTAAATATAAAGGATGAAATAGTCAACGGAGATGTTTCCTAGGCGCAACATTAACATTTAAAAGCGAAAGCAACAACAAAGACTAGAACTTTTGCACGTTTGTTGACTTTCTAAAAGACAGAAAAGGTCCGTTTCTAACAAAAGGGACCGAAAAGCCAGGTCATGATGAGAGTTAATGAATGTATCTATGCAAATTGCTCTGACTTTGCTTATAATACATCCATTGTGCACAGGCCTCGAATTGTTTTGTCTGAGAATTTAAGCTTGTTTAAGTTTTTCAACATTTTAATGCAAACTGATATTTATTTTTTCTTTTAATTTAAGAAAACTACATAAAGCTACATCTTCCTTCTTCCCCTTCCTATTTTAACGCCTGCCACGTAGGCTGTCTGCAGTGCTCAGCCTCAATTCAGCAGGCTAACTGTGCAGCAAAGTCATCCAAGGTGGTTTTATCCTTGTTGCCTTTCTTTAGAGGCCACAATTTCACGAACGAGGTCTTGTCCAGCTCATACCTCTCCCCCTCGTCACGCCCCATAAACAAATATTCTTTGTTTTCCTTAAGGTCGGGACTCTGGCAGGCTCCGCGCTTCCAGAGCCCAATTAAGTCTCCATCCTTTAACATCTTGTTGCCTTGCTTAATGATTTTCACAACTTGAACCACGTATTCAAGCATGGCATTCTGCTCGTCGATCAGCACAACTTTCCCTTTTATCACTGTCATAAGAATATAAAGAACATGCATTGTAGTAAGTTGAGAGGGAATATTGACCTCCATAAGCACACTGAAATAGAAATTCTATAGTGATTTTAAAAGAAGGGCAAACCCCGGAGGAGTAAAGCTTTCACTTAAACTACTGTCAGCCATTTTTTAGGTTCTTTTGTTGTTCCACACCTGTGACGTATTCAGTATAACGTGATCAGCGACTTGAAGCGTTCAAGTGAGTGGAAAATTGTTCACTTTGAATTTCGAATTTCAAGCGCCATATTCCCCGAAATAAACCATCGCACGCGAGAATTTCCCTGTCATTCTCGAAACTAGAAGAAAATTACAAAGCCAATTTTGTCTCAAACGTCTTTAGTTCAAGTTCTTGTGGCTTGCTCCCTTTGACCTGTTGGTTTTGCTTAACTCGGCCCATGCAATCACTGTAGTAGCACTGTATGCTTAGGCTATCTTACCGTAATTGTAACTTAAACAAGCCATGTTGATCAGCTTGGGGATGTTGCCGATAGGAGGATCGTGTTGAGCGCATTCGTCTGCAAAACAGAGGTTAAAAACAATTACATAAAACATTCACTACCGGCCATTTTTATGCTAGGGACGTTAAACACTGGTCAAAGTCGTCTAGACGTATTTAACGTCTAAGACAGTACAGTCGACTGCTGTAAAAACGGGACGCATAAAAGTAAAAGATAACATTGAAAAACAAAACAGTCTTAAAAAGACTTCCAACACTGACTCTTCCCAGTCGTCTCTGAAAGAGCTGGGGACAAATGTGTCCCAGTTTATTGCGTCCCGTTTTTATACTCGCATTTATTGTCTAAGACGATAAAGTCGTCTGTTAAGTGCGTCTGAACGACGAACTTAAAGGAAGACGTTTATGTCGTCTGTCTTATTTTTTGTCGTTTTTACACTAGACATTAAAGCGGTCTGTCTCAGACGACTGTAACATCTCTAGCATAAAAACGGCCAATAACATATCACTTAAAAATGCTTTCCCGTCATTAGTCAGTGGATGATGGCCAGGGCGGGTAGTGATGAAAACATTAGTTTTACAACAAACATAATGGATTGAACGACCAAAGAAAAATATAGGGTGAGCTTAAAGCTGAAGGTCGAAGACCTGTTATAACTAAGTTATGGGGAGCATATTGTACAAAAACTAAAAACCAAAACATTGCACAACGCCTTATACAGTCGACTCCCGATAACTCGAACCTTCAAGGGAAATCGAAAAAAGTTTGAGTTATCAGATACTAGAAGGAAATAGCGGAAAGTAAGGTAAAACACAGTTTTACTGTACAGTAAACACTTCAATCACATTTTGTTGTAGAAATGTTAGGTGGAAATTGAAAGATACTTTTAGATTATAAATCAGAAAGTAAAGTAACAAAACATAGCCTAATTCGAGCACGCGTTTTACTGTTTTGAGAAGTAAAGTTGTTTCACGTTAGAATTGAGACAAACAACATCAGCCTCCACTAGTAAACTATGTCTACAACACGTCAACGGAACTTCAAAATCTAATGTCTCGGACGCCAGTGCACTTTTTTTCCTCGACTTTTTAAGGGCTCAAACAAGGTTCGAGTTATCGAATGTAAAATCATATAGAAATGATCTGAGAGAAAACAAGAATTACTTCGAGTTAGCGGAAGGTTCAAGTTATCGAGGGTTCGAGTTACCGAGGGTAAAATTACAGTGAATGCATGAAGGAAATCCCCGGCAAATCTATTTTGGTTCGAGTTAGCGAGCGTTTGAGTTATCGGGAATCAACTGTACATATGTTGGAGGTATACCGAGCACTTCAAAAATGGCTACGGAATGCAAATTTTTATTTAGAATTGTGATAACATCAGATTAAACCAACTATTTTCCCACATTACCTTGAGTACATTTACAGGATCTCGCGCCAATGTCGCAAACGCCCAATTTCAGTGGGCTGTGCTTATCTGGCCCGTAGAACACGCTACACGACTCATCTGCAAAAAAACAAATACAACTGTTCAAATGACGAATAGCTCACAGTTACATAAGCTGTGAGGTTCTTAGTACAGGACTGTTTTTTAGAGGGAAAGTTTCAAGGAAACTTTACAAGGAATGGAGGAAATTGTATGCGAGCGATTCATCCCCATTCTCCTCACGGTTTCACCGACAAACCACTTACGCGCACTAAATTCAGCTATCTACCGTACCACCTGGCCGCGGGCAGAGAGGACAGTCGTTTCAAATTTGTTTACACTTGCATCCGCCATTTTAATTTTGAGAAAGCCTACTAATGACACCGCTGACCCTTGACCTCGCGGGAAAGAAGTGGCCTGATCTTGCCTCAAAAATCCCCAGCGTGCGGTTTGTTAAGTGGGCCTTTTTTTTTCAGGGCTAAGTCTGATACCGCTGTTTAGAGACAACTTTTTTTAAATACTTTGCTTATTAACCGAGAGAATAAGCTTGGTTGAGAACAGCTTCTCAAAAAATGAAACACTGACAGAGTACAGCTGTCATGGAACCATATATAAAAACCAATGTTTGACACTTTGTTATCCCTTAATTCCTAAGCCAGTTTGTATAATGCGTAGCTCTCACTTTTGCCAAGAAGAGAACTGTAGCCGAAATTGGTCCCGCAATTGTCTCTGGGATAGTTACTGGGAACCCGCTGGTCAGCTATTGGCCATTTTTCCACCAGTCCCAAGCAACAGTCCAGAGGTTTTTTCGAAAGTTAACCCGGCCAAATTTCCTCCTCATTTCTAAAGGGGCGATGTACGTGTGAGTCAGTCAACTATTTCCTACAAAAATCCTTTAGGGTAATCACGTAAATGAAATCCCCTGACAAATCCTTTAGGTTTCATCTGTGGTTAGTTCCTCAGTATTTCGCAGAGTGAAACTATTTATTCTACCTGGTTCGTAGTAGTCGTAGACAATAATAGGAACCACCTGAACCACACCCACGGGATATTCCCGGTCAAACTGAACATTCACGCACAGGTGTCGGTCATTTGGAATCTGAAATATATTAACAGCACGTTTATAGGACTGATACTCGAATGTATAATCATTAAGTCACTATTACTATTTTATATCAATGCAAGATGGCTCAGTTGGAATTCTCCAGGCCCCGGTTGTTGAAACTACGGATAGTGCTACTACCCACTGGATAAATCACTATTCAGAACATAAGTGTTAGGAAAACCAGTTGCGCTATTCACTGGATGGATAATGATCCAGTTAATAGCGTTGTCTGCCCATGATGGTGGAAAAGGCATACAGCTGTACCCCTTATTCCAAGTCAGACATAAGGTTAACTTCCGGGTATCATTAAAAAAAACGTTTGGTAGGAAGAACATACATGCTACACATATTTAGAACCAACAATTGTTACTTTTTGACGAGAAACGTACCTCACTTAGGTATAAAACGAGTGATCTGTCTGACACTTCATACTTGTCCAGTTCTGGCAAATCATCCTCCAACTGTGAGATAAAAATAACAAACACGTACCGATTAGTTCCCGTAAGAAAAGATGAGAAACGATAGCTGTTTAGTACAATAATTCAGCATTGCCTGCTCACGGCTCTCTGTTACCTTGTGCCTTTATTCGATGCGGACGGGACGGGGGACCTGGACACGAATCAATGCAGAGCGTTGGGTAATGGAGGGGCGGGAGGCGGGGAGGGAGAGAAAAAAATCGAGGTGCATTGGGAGTGAGAAAGTTAAGTCTTCTGCAATGTGTTGAAAAAAATACTTAGAGTTTGCTTCTTCGGTAGTCAAGTTATCCAGTCAAAAGTTTAAAATCATTGTTTTGTAGCTGGGAAGAATTGCACGTACCTAAATAATAGAGAGATCAACGAGCCGCAGTCAAGAAGAGAAAACGGCGCGAACTTTTGACTGCTTATCAGTTTTCTAATTGACTTCTAACATTATTATCGCTTCTGATTGGCCCGCTATCTACGAGCTGATACATAACAAGTACGTCAGCCAATCAGAATAGAGAAATTCGCAGTGAAGCAAATTTTCACGACGGCCGCGGAAATACTAACAGAATTTTACGAAAGCTCGTTTTAAACTATAAATGATGCAGTCTTGAAAGGCGTGACCGTTTAAATTAATAGATCTTTTTACCGATACGGCGGCCATATTGAATTTATTGGATTTAAGGAGTATTATGGTATGCACAGGGGGCATTCGCTCAGTATTTACGCTCGCTTTTGGGGCAAAAAGAAAACCTCACTGTTCATTTCTCGGGAAAAAGGCGATCATTATTTCTAGGAAAACTTAAAGAAAAATTGGCACGAAAAGCGCGCGTAAATACGGAGCGAGTATATCGGATCGTGCTCCTGCCCCTGGGCATCCTATAATACTTCTTAAATCTAATTATTTCAATATGGCTGCCGTATCAGTAAAAAGGTCTATTCTCTTTAGCAAAACGTTCATCCGGTGCAATTAATTTTTCGGCATTTGGCAAAAAAATGAAATTTTGAAAATTTAAAGAACTTTGTCTTTGGGTGAAAGGGTTGCTATCATCGTTACAGTTACCTTTTGCAGAGACTTTTGTTCTGGTTTGAAGCCTGTTAAAATGCCAATATCAATTATAGACATGCTTGTATTTCCTCTCTCCATATATCTACAAAATAAATAAATAACTATTAGCTGCTGGTCTGCTAAAAAAGTCAGAGCCTCTTTTCCTGAAGGCGGGAAGATTCGGAGACAGTCGAGCCTAGAGAAGATAAGATTTTAGGATCAATATTGCTGTTATCACACTCTGATGCCTTAACCCTTTCACTGCCAAATATGACCAAAGGTAAATTCGACAAAAATCCCAAATTTCATTTTGTAACATTTTTTAAAACAAATAACACCACATGAAAGTACTTCCAAAGAGATTTCATTTGAATGGTCGCACCATAAGATTTTGTCCACAGACGTAAATGTTACAACCACGTCACAAACTCCATCATCCACTCTGGCAGTGAAAGGGTTAATTTGAACTGGATGCAGGTGCGAATAAACGGAGGCGACAATACGGACCATCAAGACACTAAAGATGTTGGGACAAGGAAATTACGACATACAGGGTAATTCTCTTGGGAAACCTTTAAGATAAGCGTCACTTACATTTGTTCTGCGATACATTAACAGAAATAAATTGTGATTGACCTTGTGGCTACTGGTAAAGTTTTTTTTACCCCCGAAATCAACGACCTTCCGAAAGAAGCGATCCCTAAAAGCTGCTAATCCCATAATGTATACTATTATATAGACACGAGTGTTTTACTGGAAAATATACCACTCGTGAAATTCATAGAAACTACATCCGGGACCCGAGTGGTTTATTTTCCATAATCTCACACGTGAGTTTATCGACGACGTAATTTCGGTAATTTCCCTCTATTATTTTATCGATGTCTTTTTGTCTATATAATAAAAAGAACATTACTCGGCGGCTTGAAGATATGAATATTATTTTCGAGTTGCAAAAACAATATTTTACTCACTCGCTGCGCTCGTTCGTAACATATTGTTTTGCCACTCGAAAATACAATTGATATCTTCGCGCCACCGTGTAATATCCTCTATATACAGTCGATTCCCGATAACTCGAACCTTCAAGGGAAATCGAAAAAGGTTCGAGTTATCGGGAGTTCGAGTTATCGGGGGCTCGAAGAAAATAGCCGGGAGTAAGGAAAAAAACAGTTTTTACTGCACAGTGAGTACTCTAATCACATTTAATAGTAAAAATGTTGAGTGAAAATTAAAAGATACTGTTAGATTATAAATCAGAACGTAAAGTAACAAAACGTTGCCTAAATAGAGCATGCATTTTACTTTTTGAGAAGTAAAGCCATTTCACGTTAGATTTGTGGCAAACATCATCAGCCTCCACTATCGATCCACTAGTAAACTATATGCCTACAACACGTCAATGGGAAATTCAAAATTCAATGTTTCGGAGGCAGTACACTGTTTCTTCCCGACTTTTTAAGGGCTCAAAACATGGTTCGAGTTATCGAGGGTAAAATTATATAGAAATGATCTGAGGGGAAACAAAAATACTTCGAGTTAGCGGGAGTTTCGAGTTATCGAGGGTTCGAGTTACCGAGGGTAAAATTACAGTAACTGTATGACGGAAATCCAGGGGAAATCGATTTTGGTTCGAGTTAGCGAGAGGTTCGAGTTAGCGAGGGTTCGAGTTATCGGGAGTCAACTGTAATAACAATAACAATGATAATGATAATGATAGTAATAATAATAATAATGATGATGATTAAACTGATAATGATACTGATAACGATAATGATAGTGATAATAATAATTATTAATATTATTATCATAATAACGATTTAAAGGTAGAACATCCAATGGTCCAATTGGAATTTCGAAAAGTTGGTTTTTGAGGGGAAGGGAGAATCGGAGTACCCAGAGAAAAACATCTCGGACCAAAGGAGGGGACCAACAACAAACTCAACCCAAATATGGCGTCTCTGTCGGGATTTGAGCTCAAGCCATATTAGTGAGAGGCGAGCGCCCTCACTACTACGCAATTCCTTACTCTCCATTACTAACGAGGGTCAATACTTTCGGATAAGAGAGGTTATCATATGAAGGAGTCCTTACCGAGTGCAAAATTTCAAGTGAATGCTCTTCACGGGTTGATGTTTGGGTGGTTTTCTTGTCGGTGGCTTTCTTGTTGGCTTAGGCTTTTTAGGCTTGTTATTTTTACACCTTTTCTTGTTCTTGTTCTTTCCTCTACACTTCTTTTTGTTCCTCTTTTTATCTGATTTCTTGTTCTTTTTCTTTTTTGGCTTGTCATCAGCGTCATCCCCATCATCAGCAGCTTGGTCCCCTACAGGGTCAAACAGTTTCCTAGGATTTTTCTCTTTGATTTCTTTAATTTCCGGTTTCGTTATTTCAAACTTGCAGACTTCACCTTTGGCTGAAGGAAGGTTATAGCGGACGTCCACCTTGAAAAAAACAAGAAAATTTTTTTACAAATGACAACCATTTTTCTTGAAATTGCAGGAACGAAGACAAGAAAGAAAGAATTCCTTAGGCGACAACATATCCTTTAAATTTCGATACGCTGGCGAAGTGTGTACCAGCCATCGCTGATCATGAGCCTGCAGTAATTTAACTCAATAACCAATATTGTTATATAGCTGGAAATTTTTTCCCAACAGCGCGCGCTCTCATTGTTTACTTCGAGGTCACATGACATTTAACAATGAAACCTTTTCCCGCCAAAATCTCTGAGCGGGCAACATTGCAAAATCTATGACATCAGAGGGTAACAGTGTAATGTTACCCGCGAATGTTGACCGACGGCCGCCGTTACAGCGAGGTTTAATGAATTTCCAGCAAAGTGTTTAGTGTCCAATAGCCCGTTGTTGTAGATGGAAACCAGGGGTCAATTTAGGGCCTGTTTACATGGAGGTGGAGGACCCCAGGTAGGTGAGGTAACTCGCTTAGGTGGGGTAACCCGCCTGTCCATATAATCTCTCATTTTAATTTGATCGCGTTTACATGATAGGTGGGGTAGACCGGGCTACCCTCTCAGCCGGGGTCAAATTTTGCCATGTAAACGTTTCAAGGTGGGGTAACCCGCCTGGCCGGGGTCGGATTCGTGATACATCAAATTCGCGCAAAATTCACTTTGGCGGTTGCTTTGCATTATTATCAAAGTTAACAATAGAAAGCCACAGCACTGAAGGTTTCAGCATAAGCAACAAGGGAGTGTAGAAGTGCATTAATCGCCAAAACACGTGGTTTGTCAGCATTTTTCTTGTTTGCGTGCTTGGCGACCACTCAATAATTTTGAGAAGGTGCACCCCAGGATGGCGGGGTTGTAACGTTGCATGTAAAGGAGGGTTATTTTTTTACCCCACATAAGCAGGTTACCTAACCTACCTGGGGTTCCCCACCTCCATGTAAACAGGCCCTTAATAAAACTCTTAACCGTGTAATTTACAAGTGCAGCCATTGTTTTAGAGTCTGAAAACAATAGCTACACTTGTAAATTAAACGTGTTAAAGTTTTATTAAATTGACCCCTGGCTGTAGTAGTCTCCCTCGCAGCCGTTTTTTGGATGTCACGCAACGCTGCGAGGGAGACTATGGCTGTAGTTGACCTTGTTTTAATACAATCCCTCCTTCTTTCCTATATAAATCATGTTGTTCTTATGCTAACTTGTAGTATTTTTCAAGCATAACGTCCATAATAAAACGAAGAAGGTTTGAATCAAAACAAGTTCAACCTCAGCTTCACATTCACTCAAAAGCTGGGATACTCAGTCCATAACTGTAAAATTGTCTGTTAAAAATAAATTAATAGAGAGCTTAAGATTTGAGGACAAGAATGCGTACAAGTACGAGATTTAACTTAAAAGTTTTTAGCGCATGTTCTCAAAAAAAAATGGTAGCCCGGAAAGTTTGATTTTACTTTTTTTCACCAAAAAAGTTAGTACGGTTATTTATACTAAAGGAGGTTAAGCCCTCTCCCGATAGCAAAATGATAAAACTTCTTACATTTGATAACTTGTTCCCGCCACTACGACATTCTCGCTAAATCCAGTAGTAAAATGACGACAGCTATCACTTTTTCCCGCCAAAATGGCGCTGGTTTACACGCGCGCGCAAAACTTTAACGTTATGGAGGAAATCCTGTACTCGTAGTCGTTCTAGTCCACGAAAATCTAAGGCTCCCTAATAAATCAACAAATAAGAATAATAGTGTGTTTACCTCGAGCAGCCCAATTCCCTTTCCTTTTGCTGTCACAATAAGTTTGCCACCCAGGAACCTCGTGACCTGTGAAAAAGCCGATGTTAAATTCATTTGACTTATTAAAATTAATTCTTAATCTAGAGGTTGGATATTCCTTTAGCCAAACATATAAATAGATTAGCCACTGATTTATTTTGGAAACTTTTATAATTTCCAGGTTTTCGTTGCTTTGAACATACAGCTGTGGAAGGATCAAATTTAAAAATCCTTGGGGAAATACAATCTACATCGTCAATATAGAACATAGAACTAACACAAAGTTTTCAGACCTTTTTTAAATTTAAGGTCTGTCTTCTGAGGCCTTCATTTTTGGTTTTATTTAGAGCAATTCCATTC